TTTAACTAATTCATCAATGATGATAAGTACAAACTATTGCATTACACATAAAAAATATCAGGGACTAGAAAGCAATGAGAAAAGTTTAAAGAATAATACCAAAACATGCTAAAAGTACAATGACCAACAATTATATCTTTCCATAAAATATCAAATGTAGAAGGAATTATATTCTGTCAAAATTATAAATAGTATGAGGATGACTCATTCCAAATTGGGAAAATAAAATAAAACTCCCTTGAATCTCAAATTATATAAATGACAGTATGATCTCTTAAAATATTATAATTCTACTGAAGTCCCAAAAAACTTCTATATTAATAAATTTAAATTAAAAAAATCATTTTACTTTTATTGATGAGTTGTGATTAGGGTTTGTTATTTTGAAAACTTATTTTTCAATAACAAAAATTATAGTTGATAAGTTATGATTTTTTTTCAACTATTGCTACTCACAAAGCAAACATTATTATTCCTTAAACAAAAAGTTATGATCAGGATTTGTTCTTCAATAATAAAAATTACAATTGAAAAGTTGTGATTTCTTCTTTAACTCTTACGATTCACAGAATAAAAGTTATTATTCTTGAAGCAAAATTTGTAATTGGTGCTTGTTATTTTCATTAAGGGTAAAAATATTATTTTCACTTTTAAAATTTATTGACATAAAAGTTTATAGGAATTTGAGTGAAATTATTACATTTTAAGAATTAAATTATTATTTATATAATTCGGAGATTTTATTGTCATTTTCCCTTCTAAATTTGTAATAATAGCAATAAATAGAAAGATGAGGAGGTTGATGTGCCAAAAGCCCAAAAGTCATTCTTATTACTACACCAACCATGGCGATGAACACGGTTTTACAATCACTGAAGAGAGAAGTAATTCAATGCTTGACTTCAAAGTTGTACTCAAACATTACTTAAATAGAAATCAAATAAAAAGCATTACTTTGTAGACCAATGTGAACTTAATTATTCAAACTCTCACGTAATACGAGAACATAAAAAATGTGTCCAAATATATCCTTTTTTTATTATAAAATATTGACCAGTTTCAGGAAGCTACATTGAGATTCTCACTAATTTAATTGAGCTTATTCGAATCACATGGGTGCAAAGCATAGTATTTGTTGCACATCTATTATACTTATTTATTTATTTAAATTTTAGTTAGATATTATAATATTAAGATATCTTTTGAATAATAAAATATAGTAATAAAATATTCTAAATGCATATGACTTGGAAATCAGATGGCTGAAATCTAAGTTTAGGGATTTATTCAATTTAAATTTAATTAATTACCTTGATGATGTGTTATAAAGAGGGATTTATTCAATTTAAATGTCTAAATTACTATAGTCATTTACTGAACCAAAATTATGAATTACAGAACCAAAGTTGTAAATGTAAAAAAATTTATTATACTTTTCTTATTAAAAAAATGAAATGATGAAAGTTATTAATGTTTTAAACCAATATATATAGTCATTAGCTCAACTAGAGTTGTGGATGTCAAAACTCCAGTTTTGAACAAAAAATCTTTGTTGCAATTTTTTAAATTAAAGAATATTTTTGTTGTTTTATCAAAAACTTTGATGACAATTAGGTCTCTTAAAATTTAGAATATATTATCATATTTTATGAGATCAAATTATCGTTCCTTATTTTGATGGGATTTATTTGCATTTTCTCAAAGAATAATATGCTTCACCCGAAAAAAAAAAATAATAATATGCTCTTATTGGAAAATCGAGTCGGCGTCATGTGTAGCCATAATAAGTGTTCCAAAACATTATTTTTGTCCCAGTTACATCGCATGCATGTAATTGTGCTTGTTTTATTTTTATTGTTGTTGTTGTTGTTATTTTATTGAAGATTTATAGTAAAGTCTCTGGATGTATAATTAATTTATTTACTCACCAAAACAATTAATTAATTTATTCCCAATCATGTGCTCGTATCAATGTTCTATCAACCAAACGTGTTTAGCCGGAAAAAAAAAACGAAAAACTAAATGTGTTTTCCTCCACATTATTTAACCTATTATAACATGTTATTCATCAATACAGTAAAGCATAATGATATGAATAATACTGTAGATAAATAGTTGTTTAAGACTTTAAGTATCATTGGTAGGTCCTGGGTTCTTACTTTCTTTTCGCGTGTTTAGCTTTTCCGAGGAATTATTAAGAACACATATAAGATAAAAAAATTTTAAAAAAGAATTAAGGTATTTCAAATAAATTAGATTAAGTGAATTAAGGTTAATATTCTTAATTCAATTGAAAGATCCTATTTCTTTTTTTCTGAATAACCTTACGTGATGATCCTTCTTGCCTAGTTTCCCTTTTTTTTACAAAAAAATTTAAATCTATATTTTAAAATTTAGTTTTTTAGATTGATATTTTTTATTGCACGCATGAATCATCTCAATCAAAAGTAATTATGTTTAAGACACTGTCTAACACTAAACGTAAGCAACTTTTGTTGTAGGAATTTGTTTTATAATGTTATTTATAAAATGATATCAACATATTTTTTATTTATTTGTAGTTTTTATGAAGGAAAAAAAATATTTCTCCTAACTTAAGCCCCCTACTATTTATTAGAATATTGTAGATTATAGAAATATTCATCTTCTTTTACACTTCCTTCAAAACTAGCACATGACAATGAACAAGCATGAAACTGGATAATAGTACTTTAGATGAATGATAGAGTTTGTAATTTTAGTGTCAACAGAATCTGATATGGCTTCTATTTGTTGCTAACTTGTTCAATAGGCCAGCAAGGCTCTTCTTACTTGACCCTTGAGATGACGGCGACGAAGGTTCCGGCGAGCTGCCCCGCTTCTCTCCAATGACTACTCTTGCCGGCTCCGGCGGCGGCTCTGATCCAATAAGGTTTGGGAAATTGAGCTGGCTTTTCTGCCATGCATCTTGAAAGCAGCTCTATCATAAGCCAAAGCTGCGTCCTCCTCGCTCTCATAGGTTCCGAGCCATTTCCTTGCTTTCCTCTTCGGGTCCCGGATCTCCGCTGCGAACTTCCCCCATGGCCGCCGCCTCACTCCTCGGTAATTGCTCCATCGAGATGGCGCGTTCTTTTCACACGCCACAGATCCTGTGTTATCACCAGTAACGTTATCATGGTCATAGCCACCTGAATTCAAACCTTCGTCATTATTCCCGCCCGAAAATGACATACCACCAGAGTCACTAATACATACACACTAGGGTCTCTCTTTTCTTGCTCTATAACTCCATTTTTTTCTTCGTTAATTCTCTCTGCTGCACACAGTAGCTGATGCACACACATATTTATAATTGAGATATGTCGGTTAAAGTATTTACCAAACGGTATCTAGAAATTTCACTGCTCCACCACCCATTGACTTGCTTCGGGAGAGATGAGAGAAGTGTCCAGATTTTTCTTTAACAAATATCCTATCCTTATACAGTCTAGAATGAGATATTATCACCAAAAATTCTAGAGAGAGAGAGAGAAGTCGGTGATTCTCAACGCCAGTTACATCACATGCATGTAAATTGTTCTTGTTTTATTTTTTATTCTTGTTGTTGCTTTTTTGTTGATGAATTATAATAAGTCATTGGATGTATGATCATCTCTGTTTTCTGAAGCTAGCTTCTGAAAGAGTTGTTCGCTAATTTAATTAAATATATTATAGTAATAATTAATTAATTTATTTCACCAAAAAAATTATTTCATTTATTCCCAATCATGTGCTTGCAGAACTTGCAAATCAATGTTCTATTCTATCAATCATATGTATTTGGCCAAAAAGAAAAACTAAATGTGTGTTCCTAAACATTATTTAATCTATTATAACATGTTTCTTATTCATCAATACAGAAAAGCATAATGATTACATAATAATGTAGATAAATAGTTGTTCAAATAGTAGAAGAAATTATACCTTGGTCTCACATGAAGAAATTTATCATTAAGAGATCTATAAAATTTATAAAATGCTTTCAAATTTTAAATCCTGTATATTTACAACCTAATCATGGGCATTGATAATTGGATAACACTTATTTATAAGTTGTCAATATTTGAATCTTGAGAATATTTTGTAAATTTTATGAAATTTTTTGATAATAATTTTGTTATTGTGACCCAAATATAAGTTTTGCTAAATAGTATTAGTGGGTACCAGCCTCCTAGGTTCTCACTTTTCGCGCCGTGTCTAGCTTTTTCGGCAAAATTATTAAAATCACATATAAGATAAATTTTTTATAAAAACGAATTAAAATATTTCAAATAAATTAAGATTAAGTGACTTAAGGTTACATTCTTAATTCACTTGAAAGATCTTAGTTCTTTTTTCCTAAATAACCTTACCTTATGATCCTTCTTACCAATTTTTCCTTTTTTACCAAAAAAAAAATGTTTTTTTAAATGTGTATCTTTAAAATTTTGTTTTTTATATTGTTAGTTTTTTTATTGCACACATGAATCCTCCAAATTAGAAAGTTATATTAAGTATCACAATACTATTGGACATTAAATATGAGCATTTTTTTAGTGAGAATTTTTTTTATATTTTTATTTTATAAAACGGTATTAACATATTTTTTTTTTATGTAGTCTTTATCAAGTAGTAAAAAATATTTCTCCAAACTTAATCCCCTACTATTTATTAGAATATTATAGATTATATAAATATTCATTTTTTTTTCATTTCCTTCAAAACTAGTACATGAATGTGAACAAGCTAAGCACGACGAAACTGGATAATCTTGTCAACTTTAGTATCAACGGAATCCGACGTGGCTTCCATTGTTTGCTAACTTGTTCAATAGACCGGCCAGGCTTATCTTCTTACTTGACCCTTGAGATCCATCATCCTCGGATGTACAGTTAGACGGCGACGAAAGTTCCAGCGAGCTGCACCGCTTGTCTCTAATGACCACTCTTGCCGGCTCCGGCGGTGGCTCCGATCCAATAAGGTGTGGGAAATTGAGCTTGGCTTTTCCACCACGCATCTTGAAAGCAGCTCTATCATAAGCCAAAGCTGCGTCCTCCTCGCTCTCATAGGTTCCAAGCCATGTCCTTGCCCCGTTCTTCTGCGGTTCCCGGATCTCCGCAGAGAACTTTCCCCACGGCCGACGCCTCACGCCTCGGTAATTCCTACATCTAGGTGGCGCGTTCTCCTCACGCGCTACAGATCCTGCATCATTCCCCTTTAACCCAATTATCACCACCTGGTTCCACAGTGTGGTCGTTCTCGCCGGGAAACACCGTACCACTGGAGCTAGCAGCTCCCTGATCCACCGAAAGCCGTGTCGCAGTTCAAGTTGGAAGTAGGGTTGCCGGTCGCCGTGAAGTAGCCATTCATGAGTGTCATGAACGAATAAGGATCATCTTCAATCAGGTAATGTTGAACTGATTCAAAAGGAGAACAATTAGGGTTCATTTTGAGAAGTTAATAAGTTTGATGAGAACACAGAAGCGATGGATTATGGATCTGTGAAGCATGGGTTTTTATGTATATATGTGTATGTATGTATGTTTGCATAGTGACTACCTAAGAAACACCGATACAGGTACAAGTGTCGGGTACGATACGATACGCGGACACGACTATTTTTCAAAATTTTAGGATACGGGTACGGCTATATAAATAATTAAATATTAAATATTTGGATGTCCAAAAACATAATTTTAAGATGTCTAATGCCATCACAAAATATAATATAATAAATAGTCAAGCACTTAAAGTCTTAAACACTATCAAGTGACAAAAAATAATTATCAACTTAAAGTAATTCTAAACTTCCTCATCTTCATTGACACCACCACTTTCTTCTATAAGTTCTCTCTCCAAGATTTTCTTCTATAAATTCACACTTCCTGAACTACTACTGAGTTTAGAATTAGAAGCCATTGCAGGTTTAATTTTAAATAATATCCTGCAATTTAACAAGAAGAGAGCTAATAAAAATTTAAAATAAATCAATATTTAACTCAACAAAAAATCCATCTAAATAAAAAAAAATTTAAATCAGTAATTCAATTGCTCTAAACAACTCTCTTGATTCAGCAGTGAGCAAATTATCCAATAATGCAATAATAATAATAATAAAATATCCATCAGCAGCACACAAATTATCCAATAATGCAATAATAATAATAATAAAATCTCCATCAGCAGCACAACAAGAGGAACTGAAAATGAAGCTGAAAAACGACCGACCATACAGAATAAATACCAATGAAGCTGAAGAACGACGGTGAGGCAGAGGCAGAGCAGATGGTCGAGAATAAACGTGAATCGTGAATAGGCAGAGGCAGAGCAGAGCGGGTGAGGCAGCGACGCAGCGTGAACCGTGAATAAACGTGAGAGATGAAGAACGAGAATTAGAAGCACAGGTGGTGAAGCTACAGCAGAAAACATGAGAAGGGGGGTCGATTGGAGCTGAAAATGTTAGGGCATCGGATTTTTGGAGTTGGGACTGAGTAAAAGGAATTGAAAAACGTAGAGTTTCGCGTCTGCCCGCGTCCAACCGCTTCTGCCCGTCTCGACCCGCATCCGCCCGCGTCAGCCGGAAACTGGGAAAAGGGACACGCCGTTCCCCCGTCCTGAATGCGTGTCCGTGTTGGATACATATCCGACACGGACACGCCGGCCATTTTGCCGTGTCCATGCTTCTGAGGTGACTACTGACTTGTGTCCTTAGTAATGATGATGTTATGTAATTATTATTCCTGGAAATTTCAACTGTGTCAATTTGGAGTAGCTGTGATCGCGCATGTGGTTGGTTCATTGCTTTAATTTGTCGTGTAACAAGCAGCATGACAGAAGCAATATTAATCAAATTATACATATTAATAAAGCTTATGAGATATATTTTATAAATATATTTTTTAAAATAAAAATATAAAATTTAAAAAGTGTATATTCCATTTATCAAAGAATATCAAAGAGAGATAATATAATAGGAAAAGTAATATTAAAAAAAATCTTATTTTTGTCAAAACATCTTATATTTTGGAGCAACTAATTTTTTCCAAAATATCTCATAATTTGGGATGAAATGAGTACTATTCATAATAAAAACAAATAGTCTTTTATATTATAGATTTATGGTCAACCACAAACTACTCCAATAGCAATGCCGCCTCTTTTTTTCTCAGAAGTGGTCTCAAACTTTATCTCATTATTGACATGTTTGTATGTATATGTACTTAATTTGATTGTATATGACAAAAAAGATATGAGTTCTTGGAGAACTCTAGAATGCTTAAGCGATTAATATCAACTGTTTATTTTCGGTAGAGATTAGAAATAAATATTTTTATTGACTGTCTCTAAGTTATCATTTAATAATTAATATTCTTATTATGTTTTGTTAAAAGTATGAATATTATTTTTTTAAATTATTTTTATTTTACTTTGAAATGTTGAAGTATTAATGAATCCCATTTTTTGTGTCGGTTTAATACTTTAGAATAAAGTCACGCGTTAATGGACAAACACGAGAATATTTAGCTTCCCAATACCCCGTCAGGGTGTGTTTCAATGCTCATAAAATTTCAAATATCCAAATTTATTTTTTTATTTCTATTAAAATTAAAATTATAAAATGATAATAAATTTGTTTTATTTTCAATATAAATAATAAAAATTTAATTTAAATGGTTTAATTTAATATTATATATATCAAAATAAAAATTTATAAATTTTTTTAAAAAATACTGTTAAATTTAGATTGTTTAGAGTGCATTTAGATAATTAATTTAAAAAATTCTAAAATTTTTAATATTTAATTAAACCATTTAAATTAATTTGGTGATAAAATAAATTTATTAAAAAATTTTAAATTTTATTTTAATAAATATAAATGAAAAACGTTTAAATCAAAATTGTTCAGATCTCATTAGTCAAGCGAGCAGCACACGATGCCCAGCAGCCCCAACCAAGTGGGACAACATCAACAACATTATTTTCGGAACCTACGTGTCAGAAAACAGTGTTTTATGTTTTATTATGATATTATTTTTCTTCTTTTTTAAAGCAGCTTTTGTTACTAAAATAAAAAAATGAAATTTATTGCAAAAATTTACGCTATTAATAAGTCATGAGTAATATGATGAATGATTAATATAATATTCATGTATTTTTCAACACAAGAAGCCCATATATAATCAAACTAAATTTTATTGGCATTTTAAGATTTA